TGCCTAGGAGACTGGGGGAGACAATGAAACTGAGCAGGCTCCCACCTTGACTGCGATGCTTAGTTATATTTATTTCCTATCCTTTGTTAAACCCACCCTTTCCAACTTGAGCTCTGTGGAATGACTCCCGAAAAGGGTGATGAGAAGAGCCGTTCCACCATCAGAAGTGGTGCCAGGGAATACATTCATAAGTGCATTCATGGAGTGGGCTTCAAAAGAAATCTGGAAATTCGCCATGAAGGAGATGGGTCCTCCAGACATGTGCATTGATGGCTTACAAAGCTGTCTGGAACAAAGGAATAAGGGATGTTCTGTATTGTATCCATGTTTGTTTGTCCAGGAAACATAATGAGGATGAGGATTCACCAAACAAGCATACTTTGATAACCTATGTCCCCATTACCACATTCAAAAATCTACAGTCAGTGTGGACAAGAACTGCTGAGAGACAGTTATAAAACTGCAAAACAATCCCCCCAAAACCCTAAGCTCACATCAGTTACCCACCTCCAAGATACTCCCAAGATGGACTCAAAGATGGGTGCATACACTAGAGCTCTTTGTTCTTCTTCTTAATTTAGCACATTGAATACATTTGCTTAATTTTTTTTTAAATTTTAATTTTCTTTTTCGAGACAGGATCTCACTGTGTAGTGTTGGCTGGCCTGGAACTCCTTATGTAGACCAGGCTGGCCTTGAACTCACAGAGATACACTGCCTCTGCCTTCTGAGTGCTGGGATTAAAGGCATGTACCACTAAGCCCAGCAAACTGTCTCTATTGAAACTATACATCCAGCATGAATTAGGGAAGGAAAAGAGGAACTTTCCTATCAAAGAATTATGTCTCTTCTGACCCCTACTGACCTAGAACAGCACACACAACCACAAACAGATGTTAATCCATCTAATCTCACCTGTTTGCAACACAAATGGAATAAAATAGAATATTCATTGCTTCAAATGAATGTTCACTGCTTGCAGCTTGATAGTCACAACACACACACACACACACACACACACACACACACACACACTATTCTGGGTCAGGGCAAGGAAGGATCATGAAGGATTAAAGCTCTATGTTTAGGTTACAGAGGAGCCCAAGATCTATAAACTGTGATAGTGTTAAATGATCTCAAAACATAGGATTAACTTTGGTTACAAGGTTATATAAAAGTCACTTGTCCAGAAAAGTCATTTTTACAACTAGAATCCTATTCAAAAAGTCTTTGCTTATACCTACATCTTGAAACTTGAGCAGTTTCAAAATTATCTTAAGGTCTTTGATCCATTAAACAATTTTCTGCAATGCTTGGGATGGAACCTAGGGCTCTGTGCATGCTAGGTAAGACTTCTTACCAACTGAACTACAGCTCCAGCCTCCATTTTCACATATTAATTGTGTCAAATCATGAGCATGGGAAGTTTTAAATTTTTCTAATGTCTTTTTCAATTTCTTTCTTCAGTATTTAAAAAAAATTATTTATTTTATGGGTATGAGTGTTTTATGTACATGAATGTAAGTGCACCTGTGTGTGCAATATCCATGGCAATCTTTTTCAATTTCTTTCTTCAGTATTTTAAAAAATTTATTTTATGGGCATGAGTGTTTTACCTACATGAATGTAAGTGCACCTGTGTGTGCAATATCCATGGCAGCCAGAAGAGGGCATCATATCCTCTGGAACTGGTGTTTACTGAAGGCTGTTAGCTGCCATGTGGTACTGGGAATCAAACATGAGTCTTCTGTAAGAGCAGCCAGTGGTCTTAACTGCTTAACTGCTGAGCCATCTCTCCAGCCTCCCTTTCTTCAGTATTTCTTTCTTTGGTTTCTTTCTTTCTTTCTTTCTTTCTTTCTTTCTTTCTTTCTTTCGTTCTTTCTTTCTTTCTTTCGTTCTTTCTTTCTTTCTTTCGTTCTTTCTTTCTTTCTTTCGTTCTTTCTTTCTTTCTTTTTATTTTTTTTTTTTTTTTTTTGTCTTTTTGAGACAGGGTTTCCCTGTAGCCCTAGTTGGCCTGGAACTCACTATATTGACCAGGCTGACCTTGAACTCACAGAGCTCCACCTGCCTTTGCCTCCCGAGGCATGTGTCACCATGAAAATACCACTTTCTTTAGTATTTTTAGGATTTAACTTTAGGTTTTTCACCTCCTTGGTTAAATTTATTATTTGTCTCAAGTGTGATCTTTACTATCCCCCTTCTTTTACTAT